TTGAATTTTCTCGCAATAAGTCCTTGACTTTTGGTAATCGATTTGAGCGGGATTGAATTTGACCTGCTAATTCGGACGAGGCCGAACTTGACTTGTTAACTCGAGCGAGATCGCATTTGGCATGTTAATTCGAACGAGGTCGAATTTTGACTCGCCTATTCGAGCGAAGTCAAATTTTGACTCGCTAGTTCAAGCGAGGTCGAGTTTCGACTTGTAAATTCGAGCGAGGTCGAATTTTGACTTGTAAATTCGAGCGAAGTCGAGTTTTGACTCGCTAGTTCAAGCGAGGTCTTCGACTTGTAAATTCGAGCAAGGTCGAATTTTGACTTGTAAATTCGAGCGAAGTCGAATTTTTACTTGCTAGTTCGAGCGAGGTCGAGTTTCGACTTTTAAATTCAAGCGAGGTCGAATTTTGACTTTAAATTTGAGCGAAGTCGAGTTTTGACTCGCTAGTTCGAGTGAGGTTGAGTTTCGACATGTAAATTCAAGCGAGATCGAATTTTGACTTGTAAATTCGAGCGAAAGTCAAATTTTGATTCGCTTGTTCGAGCGAAATCAATTTTGACTTGTAAATTCGAGTGAAGTCGAATTTTGATTTTCCAATTTTGGGCGAATTCCATTTTTACTTGTAAATTCGAGCAAAGTCGAATTTTGATTTGCCAATTTGGGCGAAGTCCATTTTGACTTGTAAATTCGAGCGAGGTCGAATTTGACGTGCTAATGAATTTGAGTAAGGTCGACTATTTTTTCTGTGTTAACTTGGTGGAGTTACGCAAGAATTCTGTATGTTGTTTTGCTTATTCATTTATTGGAGAAGGTTACACGCTACTGTACAATCCGTAGATACGTTCGAGGAGTCCCAGTCTATCTAGTTCCTTCATCGCTTCGCCTGGAGAGGTAGTTGATAAACTGGGTGATGAATGTCACACTCAAGCCGGGATCACGTATGGGCGAGATCAGATTTTAACTAGTTGTGTCGTCGCATAGTTGCTTTTGGCGAGCGCGTGGATGGGTTTCACGCACTTGTGTTCTTTCTGAGTACTGGAGAGATTCGTACGTTCTCCGAGCTGGTGATTCGATCCCGGTCTATTCAGACTTTTTCCTTTATGGCGTTAAGTACCAATTTGTTGGAGAGGTGGCTTCACTCATCCGTTGCCTGCAAGATGATATGGCGTGGAGAGTGTTGTTTTGATGGCGTTTGTTCTCTTGTTCGCGTAGTTGGAGAGTGTTCCTATTCCTATCCTACTCAAAGAAAAATAGCAAGTCAAACCCAAACTAAATTGTTTGTTACCTTGGCCTGATTGGTTGACGAGTGGAGAGGGGCATTGTAATACGACTCGTTTTGACCCTTACTTGAATGCTGGCTTCATATTTGATCCCGGCCCCATGTTTGGCTTCGCCGTTAGTCGAATCTAGGCGTCTTGTGGAATGACAACTTATTTTTCCCGTCGGGATCTCGAGTTCGAGTCCTAGTTCGATCCAGTCCCGGGTGCACAAAAAAATGGGAACGTAAGTCATACCGCAGACACACGGGCATGGTAAGCTTGCTATTTCAAAAAATTACACAATAGGCTATCATTCATTTGTAACAGAGAGAGAGAGAGAGAGAGAGAGAGAGAGAGAGAGAGAGAGAGAGAGAGAGAGAGAGAGAGAGAGAGAGAGAGAGGGCAGTGTGCATAAAGTGTAGATTGGTATCTGACGTTAATATAACAATAAGATGGTGGACGTGCTTAGTGCGTAGTGGCCATAATCCTATTTTGACAACTCACGCTTACGACATACCAGACTCACCCCTTCAGCAAGACGTGACTTTCACGTAGATATCAAAATATAATTTCGATTTCGTGCAAAGATCTGACCTCGGTTTTTTTAGTTATTTCAAGAGCTTACCTACAAATATTTCGAGTTGGTGTTTGTACCAAGAGGGAGAGGCTACGTCAACCGAAAAGTGGGACTCTGGCTGACCTTAGATCTAGAGGAAACTAAATCTTTGGCTAGAAAATCCCCACAGACGGCACCAAATTGTTCGACCAAAAAGTGTTAGACTTTTTTATTGAACTAACTAAATAAGAAGATTTGAGGCAAATCCTAGCCAAAGATAATTTATCCTAGATCCGAGATAGGAGATAAGAATAAGCAGGCATAACTGAATATAAAATTTAACTATAATAAGGATTAAATCCTATCGCATAAGAAAAGGATGATGATTTCGCTGATATTAAATGATAACGAAGAATACATAGATAAAAAGGGTCACCGTTCTTGAATAAGGTTGGCCCCATACATTTGATATAATGCAACTAATGATGGATACTGAGGATCTAAGCTTTCTTTCTTCTTTCTCCTTGACCAGGAGCCAGAGATGAATTATCTCTGCTTCTCTGTCAAGATATGTCTACCTGTGTCTGAGTTTTTGCCAACCCCCCCCCCCCCCCTCCTTTAGTTACTCTCTCTTACGATATTTATACAAAAATACTTTCTTTACCCAACGGTCTTTAATCGGGGTACTTAAGTTCTTGGAATATCCTATGGAATATTCCTCTAGAAATGTCTAAGGGTTGAACTAGCCGTTCAGGCTGAATGGAGTACTCGACCTCAACCGCAGCCGAATCACTCGTTAGTGTATTGCTTCTCACACGTGACCTCGGCTTGATTAGCTCTTGGTCGTCCTGCCTTATATATGATTCTTCTATTTAGATTTCGATCTATATTATTACGATAAGAAATTAAACGCAAACAATATTTCTACGACGGAGTCTAACCTCTGAAACCCAACCAAATTTAAAAGGAAAAGTGAAGAGAGATAGAAAGAAAGTTTAAAGTGATTGATAACATTGCATGCATGGGAGTCAGCACGTGGTTTGATACTTTGACTAATTAACCTCCTCTAACTAAACTGAAAATTGTCCGAAGGTTACTTTTCTTCCCAACTTTTTAAGGCCCAGTTTTTTCATACATTTTTCTTTTCTTTTTTTTTTTTCAAAATGAAATTTAAAAATATATTACTCCATGAAATTTTTCAAGTTTTTGGAAAATTTTCGAAAATAAGTTTTTCAAAAACGAAAAAAACACTTTTTAAAAATGTTTAGAATTTTTTTCTCCACTCATAAAATTGCAACAATTTTCCAAGCAAAATGCATGTCCAAATATAATTTCAAAATCCGAATACAAATTTTCAACTTAACTCCAAATTCAACTTTTTAAAAAAAATTATTATTTATATGTCCAAACGCCTACTAAGAATTTTCTTTGTGCGGAATTAAGGAAGAAGAGTAACTCAATTATTGTAATAATCATGATCAAACCATAGAACATACAGCAAGAGCTCCATGCGAACTCAAGTTCCTTCGTTTCACTACTAAGAAAATAGGATTTAGCGACGGACATATTTTATAGCTAAACAAAAATATTTGTCGCTAATTCTCTTTAGCAACAGATTAGTGGTAGATTATTAAGAATTTTTGTTAGCTACGAGCGATTTAAAAACAGATTAGCGACAAGTTCGTAGCTAATTTTTTATTTTTTATTTTTATTTTTTTTGTAATCGTTCTATCAAACACAGCACTCTCAGAATCCATGCAACGATCCATTAATAAATAATATCCTCTCGTTCCTAACATTCTTGTCCTCCTCAATTATTACACATATCATATCCGGACACTGAAATTTTTTTCTAGAAAGCAAATAATAGCATTTTATATTAAGTCTTATCCAACACTTTCTTCCTAGTAGTAGAGAGACAAAGTAAACTCAAATTTTCGCCAAAACTTCAATCCTCCTTTGCTATATACAAGCATATATAGTTTCCACAGAGCAAACTGCATTCTTAATTTCTTATCATTTTACCATGATAACAACAATAACAATAACATACCCAATGTAATCTCACAAGTGAGGTTTGGGAAGAATATAGTGTAAGTACAGGGGTGGATGCAGTGCAGTACTTAAGGGTTTAATTGAACCTATAACTCCCGACGCGAGGTAAAAAATATATACATAAAAATTCATTAAAATTACAAAAATAATATATATGAACCCATAACTTTAAAAGTATAATGGATTCAATATTAATTTTTTTTAAAGTTGAACCCATAAATTTTAACTCCCGGAGTTGCCTATGTACGTATACCTTATCTTTACCTTGTGAAAGTGTTGAGAGACTGTTTTGATAGACCCCAGCTCAAAGAAAAACAGAATTATAACCACTTTACCGTGATAACACGGATCATTTAAGTTGTTTGTTATTTTAAGATATATCCAAATCTGTAACAAAAGTATTGATTAAGAGATGTAGTGGGTGGTGGGTGCTTGAGTTATTTAATGGAGTGCAACGTGAATGTACCATTTTTTCCTATTTTCATCATTTAATTATGTTGACTCCATGTAGTCGTCCTCTTTTTAGTCTTTCCGGGAATATCGGGTATTTTTGTAATTAAAGAAAAATAATAAGGAAAAAGAAGTATGTCTGACAAATAAAAGAACCACAATTAAAGGAACCTAAAGTTCAATCGCCGGCCAATTACTTGGTTTTATTCCCTGTATCCATCGAGTAGAACTTAAAAATAATTGGGTATATATTTTGACAATTTCAATACTATAAATTAAGCCGTCCAAAATACATAACACCAAACGAACTGGGGTCTAGTGAAATGTTCTCAGGGAGACAACTTTAATTTGTGTACCTTACTTTTTTGTTTTTCTTGAATTGAAGTTCTATTTTTAACAAATTCTTTTAATATTCTTGTGATATAGTACTCCTTTTGTCTCAATTTATGTGATATTTAAATTTCTTACTTTGGATCATGCACTTAGATATAGTATTTTTTAGTTTTTCGAAAAACTTACATATTTACGAACTACTTAAAAGGTACTACTTATAAATCATAATAATTAATAACTCAAAATATTAAAAGACATAAAAAAAATACGGCAGAATAGTACTACGTTTGACTCTCAAAATCTAGACACATTCACATAAAATGGGGCAAAAGAATTGTCTATGATCGTTGGGTGAATAATACACAAGTATAGTAGTACTAGATACAATAATAAAAATAAATAAATAAATCTTCAGAAAATGGGAGAGATCCGTGACGTGTAGAAAGAGCGCGCGTGGGTGAGGTTCACAAGTTGCGCATTGTTGAAGTATCAAAATGAAAGTGCCATTTCCCATGATATCACATCCCTGACGTCAACAAATTGGTGAATGACGGACTGAAATGCATTATAGTCCAATGATCAACAATCAGCCATAGCCTAGTCAATAGAGAATAGACTACGTAGATTTAGGGAGAGGAGATAAAAAATAGAGAACATTAGATAGCTACTTATGGACGGAGAGAAGAAGAGGAAGAGAACAGAGAACGGCGAGGCTAACGGCGGCGATCGGAACAGGCATGAGAGAGAAAGTGCTGCGAATGAGGATAGCGCCGTGTCGCCGCCGCCTTCGGAGGCGGAGGTCGACGAGTTCTTCGCGATCTTGCGGAGGATGCATGTGGCAGTGAAATATCTGCAGAAAAGTGGCCAAAAGAGAGTCGTGCCTAAAGGCCGTTTGGACCTCAATACTCTACCAGAAAACGGAGACTAACGCCGTCTAATCTTAAGTGAGTGAAGTGCGCCCTTGGTGCATTTTAACCGGTGAGGGTCCTGGAGGCGTATCCACTGGACAGGTTAAGCTTTTTCACTACTGTTTGTTGCTCGTATTACTAATAACAAGTCTACAATCTCTCCTTTTTTGGGGAGAATTATACCAATTTGTTAGGTTTAAATATTGCAATTAGCTTTTCTTCTTTAATTTCTTATGTAATAAAACTAAGACTTTTATGGAATCAGATTATCTAATTCTAATTTTATGCCACTCGACCTCTTAAAATGGTATTTTAACTGGTTTTTTGGGTTTTTTTACTAGGTGTCCGGTATTCGCATTGGAGCCCGATTATATTCGTATTCGCGCCGCGTTGGGCCCCATTTGGTGGGAAGCGCTCCTTACCAAAGATTTTCCCATACCCAGAGTTTGAATTCGAAACCTCTGGTTGAGGGAAGAGCAGTCTCATCCACTGCACCACATCATTTGGCGGTGGTATATGAACACGAGAAAAATGAAATGACGAAGTAAATGATGAGAAAGGAACGTTTATCTACTCTCTTTAACTTTGTCTTCCTTTCAGTAAATGTTTTTTGGTTTCTTTTGGATTATTGTACACACTATACTTACGATATATACTTTTTAATTTTTAACTAATCAAAAGGTATTTGAAGAAGTTGGTTAAAACGAGGTAGAATTAGATTCAACAATCTTATGGAATATATAAAATATAGTAGTAATGATCTACACGAGAATACTATAAAAGTATTAGGGTAAAATACAATTGTATCAAAACGATGTAGTCAAAGGCGGAGCTAGAATTTCAAATTTATGAGTTCAGAATTTGAAAAACTACTGGGTTCTAAATTAATAATTTAGATATATTCAATGAATCTTTTAAGATAAATATAAGATTCGAATCAAAGCTACTTGGTTCGGCCGAACCCGCTCGGGACACTCTAGCTCTGCTCCTGGATGTCGTAGTACGTAGCATATGTCCCCCGCATTTGAGGATATTTAATTCGTGTATTTTTCTTTACGTCTTTCAAATATTAACCTAACCGAAATGGTTTCAAGGAGTTCCTTTTATTTCTTGTCTACTGATCACGCCCAACTATGCCTTATAAAAAGGACTCTGCGGACGTTGCAAATATAACCCGAGTATTACGCCCAGGATCGAATCCACAGAGAGTTAACCTATCAACCACTATCTTCAGACCCACTAATTCTTCAGAACCAGCTTCCCAAATATTCAAATCTCAGTTGAATGTTCTTTAACAACTACGCTTGCAAGTAACTAAATGGCTGTAAACTAAACTAATAAGGTTGTAAACAATTATGATAAAAAGCTAAGGCAATGATTTCCCCTATTGATGGAATCCCTTCTGTTTATGCTCATACAAATTTACCAACACATCTCTATCAATCATGAACGCTAATCTTACCGTAAATCTCTCCCGAGTAATCACAGTAATTTACTATTGCACTCTCCCGAGATACACTAGCTTACTTCATTTAGCACGATTCACTTTAGATTACACCCAAGGCTTCGTTATCCCTAATCCCGCCTTTAAACCCGCAATTATAGATTCCTCTAATAATCTAGCAGTGGTGTTGTTCAACAATATCCTAAATATGCACTCTTTTCCAAGTTATGCACACTAAATAGGCACAGCTAATTGAGGATCCTGTCAATTAACTACAACAAACACGAAGTTGAACAAATAGAGATTAAACTAGCAATTTGTATTCACATAAACAAGAAGTTCATCACCCAATAGGTTCCATCAAAACCTTAGACAAGGAATTTAGCTACTCATGGCTATGGGAAAATAAACTAAGATAGAATACATCATAAAAATCAAAAGTAAAGAAGAAAGATGTTTTGAGTATTCTCTCACAATGGTTTTCCTTGCTAAGAAACCCTAAAAATCAATAATGATTCTCTTGGGCGAAGTCTAATGTTTTAAATAGGGTTTAGGTCTAAAAATCCCGTATTTGACACTTTGACCTCTGAACTTTTCTGCGCCTGCCGCGGTTACGCGGTAGAACCGCGGCCAAACCATTTTTCTGAATCCTAAGGGCTGGCAGGGCGTAGCTTCATTGGGAATTTACACATTTGGCCTCTTTTCTCCAATTTTGACTCCAAAACTGCTCCTTAGCCTTCCTTATACATATATCACCTGCAAATCATGAAAAGCACTAATAAGAGAATTTTGTTATCACTTTTAGCATTAAAACTACATAAGAAGGTGATTATTTAAGGTGTGATTATAGTCAAATTCACCTATTATCAACACCCCACACTTAAGCCTTTGCTCGTCCTCGAGCAAACTAAACCACACTTCTAGGCCTAACTGTTCAATGCATTGCCCCAATTTATGTCACACCTGCTATTATCAATGATCGACCTAAGCAGTGCATAATCATAACTCAAATGCAGACTCTCATGCCAAGACACACTTGTGTTCACTCTAATTACTCTAACAGAAGTGAAGACTCACTTTTTCTTCCTGAGTCACATGCCCTCACATAAACAAATCTGAGAGAGGTTCCACACACATAAAATTCAACAACAAGGAACCATATATAGAAAGAATTCACTCACTCTCAGCAAAGAGCATTCACATGCCACACAGACACACCATAAGCTTGCCCCTAGTGTAATACTCTACTAATCGAGCCATTCAGTCAAAGATCAAGAGGTCTTTATAGGTTGTAATGTAGGCTAAGGGACGAGTAGGATATATTTGGATATAGTGACTAACCTCCCTAAGCACTTTTAATACACACTTCCTTTTATTTCACCTTTATGTTCAACCCAATCATTATTCCACATTTTGTTTCACTTGTGACCCCCACTTTTCTTTAGGTACAACTGGTTTTTTTTTTGATTTATTGTACACTGCCAGTTCACCAATCAAAACCTTCATTCTTGATTCCCTTTTTTCATTAACTCTCTCCCACCCCACACTTTGACTTTTGTATATTCTTTAGTGATTCAAGTGCTTCTAGGAGGTAAAGGTTCAAACAATTAAGCTTATTCAAACACATCGATTTAGATCATTATAGGGTTATCAAAGAACAGGCTTCAGGCTCAAAGGGGTTAACTATGGTAATATGCACAGGTGGATTCTCAAGTATAAAGGATTGCACAAAGAAATGCCTCAATCATCTCTAAAACCAAACGACTTCTATTTCGCTTTGCAAACACACAGGGCAAGTTGTAGGTATCATATGCAAGCATAGGATGCAAGTAACAACTCACACACACTTAGCATGTAACTCATTCCGAATCAGTTCATCAACACAATCATACGAGTGTTCAAGCAAGACAAGATGTGCAACATTAAGGCATGAATTTACGAGTCCACAAATGAGACTAGACGTCACACTCTCAAGTTCCTTTTAGTTATTTGCAAGTGTGCATATCACAGGTTGCATTCTAACCTTCACCCATTTTAGTCCTAAAACTACAAAAGGAAAATCTACCTAACCCGGTTCAAGAAAAGCCCTTGGAAAAGAACCGTGGTCAAAAGAAAAACCAAGGGGGAAGTGTTACACTACCTAAAAGAGAGAAAATAAAAAGAAATTAAAAATAAAAATAAAAAAAATTCTACATGGACTACTTCCCTCAAGATTACTGTCCAAGTGGTCCGTCCTCAGGAAGAATCCTTTAACTCGTTTTCAGTTTACATTAATTCCGACTTTGACCCTCAAGAGACCCGTCGACAAGTGTCCGTCGTTGGGCCAAGTCAGCTACTCCTAATATAAACACACTCAAATATATACAACACATCACTCTAATGTTACAGCACAACAACATCTATATACATTACAATACACAGTTTGAGCAAGTCTCCACCCCACACTTAAAATCATGGCATGTCCCCATGTCACATAAATAAAGTAAAGAGCAGAAGGGTTAGAAGACTTCCCTAAGACTCAGTCAGAGTCGGAGACAGTGCTGGGGTCGACATGGCAGGCTCTCCCCAATGCACGGAACCAGGCCATGAATCGGCTCTCAGTCCTGGATTGCCTCTGGGACATAACATCCATCCTTGTGTGTAATCCATCCACTGAGGTGCGGAGATCTGCAACATCTTCTTCCATGGACCGCAGCATAGGTCTGGTAGACTGTGATCTGGATATGCCAGTCCCAGAATGAGTGTATCTAGATGGTCCGGCACTGTCACCGGACCTCCTGGATGGAGCAAGAGGGACCGGATCATTATCCTCGTCATCTATCTCAATTGTGGTCCTTATTCCCTGGCCTACTCTGTTGCTAGAAGCTTTGAATGCTGCTTTGGGTGGCAAATCTCCATCAGCAGGATTGGTGGGGGTGTTTCTCATCAAGCACAATGTGGTTACCAAGGAAGGGAAATAGAATCCCTTTGTCAGCAGCGGTCCCCGTAAGACCATTTCATCACCAATTATCCGGGCCGCATCAAAATCCTTTCTTGTCACAAAGCACCAAGTCAACAATGCCCGATTGAAGTTCACGTCCGTTGTATTGCTGGATGGCAGGAACCTGCTGCAGATAACAGTCAACCAACACTTGGCCAAGTGGGTGAAAGAGTTAGAGTTGAGGGTTATTTGGTCACATATCCAAATGGGTTGCCCCCCTGTGCAAAGTACATCCGTCATGACCTACCATGTCACCCCTGGTCTGTCATGGTAATAGTCGACGTCACTGGTGAACGGAGGCAGCCGCAACACCTGGCGAATTGTTGGAACTGCAGCCTTGACCACCGTACCCCGAACAATCACCACCCTACCCAAGTGCAATGGACAGTTGGCGTAAAATTCTCGAACCAGCATCTTGTTAACTGGTGCATGGTCGTTAAATAGGAATTCCATTTCCCGCCTCCGTATTTCTTCATACATCTCCACCTTTTCGGCTCGGAGGGCTACCCGATCAATCGGGATCTTATGGAGGAAGGTCTTTGTAGCCTTGGCGTTGAAGTCGTCCTCCGCCAGTTCCGATTGGAATCTGGACTCATCATAAGTAGGTCGCTGGGATGGGCCTCCAGATCGCCTTTTTCTTTTGGGACATATGACCTGCAAATAATCAAACGAACCATCAAAATATGCCCTAACTAGTGCCAATCAGATGGTTACTCAGACTTCACCACCCGATGACACCAAATACTTCCACTTAATTCATTCATAACAACCTCCACAATAGCCCCATAATTTTCTTACCACTTCCGGCATAATACACTCCACACTTACTCCTCAATGTTACACATGAGATACAACACCACCATATA